TTCTATGTTTTCTTGACGTCGCATCAGCTTAGCCTCAACGATCTATTCGCTTTCGTCGTGAACCTCATCGCCTTACGCGCATCAGCAGCCAGCCAGCCTGCTGGCAGTTCGCCCCTTCGGATCATGTACAACCAGTTGGCGACGGTTGTTTTTAGGGCCGACAACTAACTATCTTGCCTAGTTCAAAAAGCGCCACTTTGCCTCTTCAACTCGCACTATCAAGCGCTTTTTGCCGAATACGGGGGGCCCCGGCGACGACGTTGGTGGCGGTGGCGGAGGTGGTGGCTGCGCACTCATGCGCAGTTCGCTTTTGAAGCGTGATGGCCTCGCTCTTGGACGCTCACGTGCTCTCATGTTTGTTACAAAATTTCTTACCCAAGAGGTGGGTACGAGAACGGGAGCGAGAAGTGTTTGTTGGGAGGAGGGGGGGGAGTAACATCGCTCAAGCGCGCCATCGCTCCGATGTTCGGCGCAGGAACTCAAGCGAAACCACGTCGTCGTTCGTGCACGGAGGGTAGCACATTCTTGAGGCGCGCATTCTTTCTCCATTTGCTAAAAATACGAGGCTCCTCTGTCTTCTTACCCCCATCATCCCGAACCAGTTGGTTAGTAAGAGGGAATGCGCATCACAAACACTTCTTCATCTTCACAGCTGGAGCAGCGCTACTACCTACTCCACCGTCATTATTCATTGGATGTTTATAGTAGGTTTGTGACAGATTCATGATCTTATGACGTCTCGCTAGTGCACAAATCTTATTTATTCTCACTAACCCTTAATTTCTTCTCTGCCATAGTCAGCTAGTCGAGTTTAGCGGTTAGAAAGAAATTCTTTTTGATTTTGTGGTAAAGAATGTGGCGAACTTTGCTTTATTGATTCACTGATTCTTACAAAGTCACCTCATTTATCGTTATTCGAAAACTACTTGCACTTTTTTAGTCATATAAACAACGAGAATAAAGTAATATGTCTCTTACCACTTTACTTCAATTTCACATTTTCTTTGGAGGCTGTGTTCGGCAGGTGCCTCATAAAATAATTGAAAAGGTTTGGGCGCAATTTGCGCTGATTCGGAAAACCAGAAACGATCTAATACCCATTATCGAAAAGCACAGCCCTGTACTTGCTTGATCTGGTGTAGACTGTGCAGTCATTTGCTATTCAATTTCAATTCTAAAAGGATGAGTAATTTTCCAAGATTCGGCACGAGGTGGCTTTCCGAAAATGCAAAAAACGGAGTCTTCCTTGATTTTTCCTAAATTTCACGAAGTCCCTTTGACCCGAAACCATGAACGTAAAAAATCGTTAGAAACGAAGCTTCGAAATGTCGACTAAAAAAGTTTTTTTCGGCCACAGAGACGATATCTTCTTTGCTTTTTGTAATAGAAACGATATCCAGCTTGCTTATAATCCACCTTTGCCGAGCCCTGATAATTTAGTCAAAGCGGAAGGTTTTTATTAGCTTACGAGAAGAAATATTTGAGAAAAAAGACATTGAAAATCTTGGCTCCCACTACCTATCAACCAATTTCTTGATCTCGGAAATCATAGTTCTAAGATTCTCTAGTCTCAGCTTAGTTTGTGTGGGAGGGCTTGACCGCGACCTATCGAAAAGTAATTAACCCCTAGTGAAAGTGAATTGAACCAAATCCTAATTTCCTTACGACATTGTTTCAAAGTGGATTTAGTAGGCATTTACACTGCGAATTAGCATAAACTCATTTTCTGGGTTACTCAAGCGTTGCGAGCGAATCGTACTCGTTGTGTAATGACACTTTCTCGCTGGTTATGCTCACTTTTTCTACAAAGTTACGCGGAGAAGAGAACCTGCTGAGTAAGATTAAATTGATTCGAAAGGTTCTTCACAGGGGTTCGGTTGTGATCACTTTGAAAGGTTTTGTAGTGACAAATTCGAGTATATAAATTTTCAAAGCGAACCTGACTGCGCTTGAAAAGCTAATGTCCAAGTAGCACTCGTATAAATCACTTGTGGTAGAGATATTCAATAGACCACACCGTACTTTTAGGATGCTCCTTGAAAAAATTATGGTCTGAACTTGAGTTCGAGTTATCTCAATTAGAATTTTTTATGAATTGCCACTCAGGATTGGCTTGGACAAAATTTCCTAATTTTTTTTCACATTCTCAAATGAGATACCCAGATACACAAAATGACTGAACACTTCCTGTAATAATCACTTTTGCACATTGAATTGAGTCACCTGTAAATATATGCTTGGTATAAAACCGCATGATCTTCCCCATAAATGTCAAGAAAACCTTGTCAATTCTTCCTTCATGACCCTTTTCTTATTGTGTTATGAACGCTTGCTCATTAATATCAAGGTTGGGAACGGTAAATTTTGTACGCCGCCATCAAAAATCATTAGAATTTATATTTAGACCTTCATAAGGAAGCCTATAAGGTCGCACCCTCTCGGGAATGTGGCCCCTATCAAAGGGACTTTGGACCTATTTAGACCTTTATAAGGAAGCCTATGATTTTTATTAGCAGCATTCTCCAGAATTTTTGCATAACCGCACTTATCTTTGCACAACAATCTGCAGCCATAGGTCGTTCGAAAAATCGTGAGGATGGGGCGACCGCGCGCAACACGCACACATCATCCCGACAACTTCATTTTCTTAGTTCTCACTTCTGACTGAGTGGTTTTTCTGCTTAGGTATGATAGTGCTTGGACACTGGAATTGACTGAGCTGAGCACTGAGGTGATGCCTTTTTGTAAGAGGGTATTATGCTCCTATGGGAGCAAAGACCACTGTCACATCTTTCGTCCCTATTTTATGGATGAACCTTACTTCTTTTCCTTCCTATCAAATCCGCTCCTTCCCCATTCTTCTTCCTCAACAACTGTACCTTCTATAAGTCGGTAATCTCAGATTACGCAAACTCTTCACATTCTCAAAGTTTACTTTTGTTTTAGACCCGCAAAGTGGCAGCTTACCTCCACCAAAATAACTTTCCGCTACGCCGAACTTCTTATTCTCTGTTTTGTATTTCTGTAAACAGTCGTAAACTTACTGACATGAAACGTGCATAGTTCCTGTGTGGCTAGTTTGTAAGCAGAGAAGTTGTTATGAAATCCCGTCTATTTTGGAAGTATCTGTCCATCGTCTGTTTTCATTTCCAAAAAAAGGTGATGGTTTGGTAGAGAAGCTCTCAAATCAATTTTTATATATCATTAAGAAAATCAAAAGGAAACAAAAGTGGATTCAAAGTTTACTATTATTAGAGTTATTTCTCTTTTCCTCATTCATGATTTCCATCAGAAACTAGAAGAAATAATTGATTTTTTCTGTGCTTTCCGGAAAATTTTAGCACTTTCGCAGAATGACTGCCAGAAGCTCGATGTAAATTTGATTTAGGATCTGAGCCTGCTCTCGGAGTTCACTTTATATTTTCCTTGATTTTACAGATTATCCTTTGAGAACCGGAAATCAAATCTTACATGATATTTAAGCTAATTTCAAATTATGTAATGTAATTAGATGTGTATGTAGAATCTTGTGAGCACTTGTAATGTTTTCTCACAAATTTTCTGCTAGGAAGAAATTTCAAGGTAAAAGTTGGAATTCTGTAAAGCCTTGAATTTTCAAGCGCCCATATAATTGATTTACGATCGTTATATAAAAACTTGTCTTCGTCCTTTGCCTCTGCTCACTCTTCTCTTCTAAGCCTGCAATCACATTGTGGTTTTATATGAATTTTAAATCTGTAATTTTCGGTAAAATATAAAGTGTGCGCACAAGAGATTTTCGAAAACAGTTAAAAGTACAGAGCTTCATTAAGATACAACCAGTTATCTCGTATTTTCTCCTTCGTGGATTTCCACTCGGACTGACCCAAAGAGATAAGTGATGCTTGGCGCCATAGTGCCAGATCCATAGTAGCAATCCGATCCTGTCAGGGAACTTGTTTGCATAGTTTTTCCAAGCATGGTAAAATCTATCAGCTAACTGTGTGTTCTTTGTCGCATCGTACAAGATAAGTCTTATGGATCCGGTTGTGCATATGCCATTGTTAGCACATTCTCGTTTCTTTTGCCATGCAGTAGTGTCAGGATTTGAACAGCGAGCTTTATTTTCTTCCTAACGTTCATTCCGGGATGTTCCTTTTCTTTTCCTTCCTGTGATCCATCAGAGGTCTATCTTATTCTTCTTTTGTATACCGACATTGATGGGAGAAGAGAGAATGGAAAGCGCGTGGTTGGGGGGGGGGGGGGGAGAGGGAGAAAAAGCTAAATTAATCGGAAAGACAAGTTGCAAGCTCATATGTACCTATAATTTTTAGTTAGTTCAAAGCATTTATATCCGTTTATTTTTTTGGAAACTTTCCCATTTGATGCAATTCTTTCCACTCAGAAACGGCTCATCTTGCCACTTCCAAAAAAGGGAATAGGTTATACTGTTTATTGTAATAAAAGAGGAAGGAAAAGGATTAAAAATTATTCCAAACATTATCTCACTTAGTGGAGTGTATTTGTGAACAGCTATTGCATAACTCGTAAGTTTTCATTCGCTATTATAGGTCGTACTTTTTTCAAATTTTGAATAATTCTCAATTTGATGGCAGGTTGTTGTCCATTTGTTTGAATTTTTAAATTTCAGTCCCCTTTATATTTGATTAAGTTAGCGAAAGAGCAGACATGAGTTTCGTGACTTTGTTCCTTTTTTCATTTAATAGCGCTTCTGATACAGAACCCCTTTTTCACAATTTTCTCCGCTTCTTTCCTTCACCTAAACATTTTTTAACGACTCCATTCAGCAGTATTCCATTTCTAATTGGAATGTTTTGACACAAAAGGAGTGCTGAACTTGGCTCGCTCTCGTACCCATCATCACAAATCATTCTGTGCCGAGGAAAACAGTCCGATCAGTCATGCCATTTGCGTTCCTTCAATGGAATATTGTCTACGTCACCATTTATGCCTGTGCGCTATCGAATGCCATGTTGTTGTGTGCTTATTTTGCAACTAACAATCATTGTTGTAGATGGTCCTGCCGCTTTGCCGGTGCCGGGTACTGTATATAGGATCATCAGTACCGACAATTACTAAAGATGGTCTACAAGGCATACAACAACCGCTAAGAGAACGATATCCTGTGGAAGATACACCAGAAACACGTGGAATCGACTCATGGTGGGTATTGCGCGTTACTTACTAAATGTGTGCATTTGCACACAATGCGCGGCATTGCGCGACTCCTTGGTCGCAGACAATCATTGTTGTTACAAACTCTTAGGAACTTTTTATTTACTCCCCTTTTTACGTGCCCGTTTCAAACAAAAAGAAAAAACTAAATCGAGAGAATTAGTAGCAACATGGTGGATACAATGCAGCATTAGTATCTAATACGTGCAATTGCACACAGTGCGCGGTGTTCCACGACTTCATGATTGTAAGCAACTATATAATTTTGTGAAGGATTGAATTGCTAAAAATCTTAACTCAGACTAATCTTCTCAATCCGATCGTTGAGTAAAAAGAATAAATCAGAAATTTCCCCAACTGACAATTGTGGAAGTAAAAGTCGTAAGATGCTACGCTTCGTGTGCAGTACACATAATCATTCGACTACAGTAGTCACTCGAAATTTCTCTTATTTATAAGTGGAAGTAACCTGGATGATTTAGGCTATCAGTATGGTCAAATGGTATTCTTCTCGAATACATCGAAGGCGATAAGAAAAGCGAAACAGCGTTCTTCCCCATCAACACCTTACACTATTGCGCTGCAGTTCGTTATGTGAATGTCACTGGATACGCTGTTGAAGGTGAGCTTCGACCGGATATGGCTGACGATGCTGTTTCTCCTACTTGAAGAGAATTTTGAAGTGGTTGCCTTGTAGGAGGTGGAGAACGATTTCTTCCACTTGACTCTCCATTCGCCAACATACCCGATTCGCCTCATCCGCCAATTTTTGCGGCCATCATGAGAAGAACCACCGGAGTTAAGGTTTGTGAATTTTTTGACTTTTTGCTTAGTGTAGCTGGAGTGTTTAAATCTCGCTCAGCGAGAGATTTGTACAAGCGAAAATGGAGCGGATTTAAAGGTTCTTGCAAACTATCTGGTTGTTCAACTTATAGTAGGTGTAGAAAACATGAGAGTGCACCCATTTGGATTCTGTGAGAAGAAGAATCACTCGTACTTTTAACAATAAGCTTAGAGGATTTCAGATTTTGCTGCTCTGCTATTTTTACTGTATTTTTTCCTATCAGCTAGTTCAAAGTAGCGAAGTTTTCAAAAGAAATGTCCTGTTCGACAATAGCAGCTCCCTTCATAAGTGAAAATTCTTGCATTTATCTGATTTGATTAGCTGGTTGAAACTATGCTCACGTCCATAATCTTTGTCGCTAATGGAAATCTGCAGAAACCAGAAAAATCTCTTTTTCGCACCATTCGTGCTACCCCAGATTATTTGGAAGTTGAAAAAGCACATGACTATCAAAATGGGTCCGGATTTGGTTAACCTTTAATTGTCTCTTGCTGCCTCATCGAAGCGCATGTGTACAAGTTGACAACTGTATCACCTTCTGTTAAATGATGATTCCGTACCAAGGCTTCAGTACACACAAGGTGCCATGCTGTCTAACCATGGACGTTTGCTCGCTCTGCTTTTTTCTTTTCTTACAAGAAAAATCCGAAATCGAAAGAAAACGTCGTCGACCTTCTACGCATGAGATATCACGAATGTGTTTTGATCATAGGCATCTCAAACGAGCGTTTGGAACTCGAAAACTGTGCTTAGGAACGCTGAGAAAGTTTTACCGAGGTCGATGTGACAAGACTTGCTACTCCCTATAATGTAAAAATAAATAGTGCTAAATATGTTGAAGGTTTTAACCTAAGGTTCGCATTGTGGCATAAGCTGTCGTGTGCAGTAACCAGCAACAAAAATGATACAAACAAATTTAGCGGAACCAGGGCCCAGCACAAGGTGGCATTTGAGAATCTTGAAAAAGAAGTTCTCTTTGACAATGCAAAAATTTACGATTAACCCTTTGTGGATTTGGAAGTGCGAGTTCTGATCTACATCGAACATTGAATGGCTAAAAGTAAAAAAGGCAGAAAATCCCGAATAAAATAACAAAAACGAGCAAGAAGAAGGTTTTTATATTGTCAAGTACCGTAGCATAGCAGAGTGGTCGAAATTTGGGCTGAAGTGAGTGGATGGTAGACGACAGATGGATTGACCTGGGAAATGGATTTATGTGGAAATTTAAAAAAAATCTATGAGGAAGTGGGTAAATTATAACTTTGTTTGGTCTCGCGCAACCTCAAGGTGCTCCCGGGTAAGATAGTGAAACACTTACAACTTCCTTTGTTCGCATAAATTTTTCATGATTTTTCATATTTATCTTTTATGCGATATGGCGAAGCTATACATCAAATTTGATGGCTTAATATTGCTTAGTCGTTGTAAACAAATTGATCGTTTATGTTTTGTGCATAAAGATCATGTTTTAACACGTTGGAAATCGTGTGAACACAAATTGTTCGCTAATCATGTTTGAAACATGTTAATTGACCTGTTAGTGGTTGAATGACGTTAGAGCCATTCGGGCTCATTATGTGTACAGTATGCCCCAATCCCAACCAGGCCAAAATTGGCATGACGGGAGTCCACGTCGCTAGGCTTTTGCGTCACGCCTACTGCGTGCTTGTCTGCTCTCTCCTCAATCTCTTCGCTCTCTCCGACAGCGCGCATATGCAGCGCAAACCTTGAGCGCTGCGAGCGCGCATACCTACGCCAATAGTTCGGCCTGATCCCGATTGGGACAAACTATAGGAGATATGCTTGCTATTCTATCGAAACCGGAAATCCTCCCTGAGAACTTACGATTTCCCTTTTGCTTCTCCCCCACAGAATGATGTGCTGCTGAAAGCGTCTCTTGCGCTGAGCCCTGAGCGGAACTCATTCTTCGTATATTTAAGCGGCAAATAAACAAAAAGTTACCGCAACGTGCTGAAAGACAGTGTGCAACAAATGAGAAGTAAAATTCAGAGTGTGGAAGTATTCGAAAAATAGAGGGGAAAAGGGAAAGTGAAATGAAGAAAAAAACTTCACAGAAAAAGCTGGATCGTCTCAAAGTTTTGGAAAATTTCTACGATGAGCATTTTGGAAAGTTAGGCAAATGATTTGTTCGTGTGATTGTAGAAAATGTCAACAAGATTTTCTAACGATGGGACCTGTCAGCGGAGACAATTTTTGCGTGCTAAAATCTAAACTCATGTCGCAATTGTAATCGTACACTGGACTCTTAAGGGCCGGGCATATTTCACGCGATTTCAGTCGCGACGCGATTTGGCAATATTCCAGCTGTCCATAACTCACTGTAAGCCCATTTTAAATGTATAAAAGATATGGCATTTTATCGATCCTCGTAAGTTATACACATTGTGCATGTGCAGTTTGCTAGTATTGGATCTGAAGACTTCTGGCGAATTGCCAAATCGCTCGCGACTGAATTCGCGTGAAGTATGCCCGGCCCTTCACGCTTTTGTCAACATCGTAAAATTCAGGTGCTGGAGTGCCATGGTTTCATTTGCACAAACAACAAAGCAGCAAATGCACTGGTTCGCTGCTGTTTCCATGCATATGCGGATTCGATCTACCTCAAAATGGACGAGAAAGTGCCTGGACTAAAAGCTATAAAGGTGCACTCATACTAGTTACTATTGGTTTTTCAAATTCAGCTAGACATTTGCAGGAAGGCTCAACCGGCGAGCGATCGCCTGCCAGTCCACAGAGTGAGGAAAACAACTCACTTGAGGGAGAAGATCAAATCGATAGAGCGCCCAAAGTAGGTTTGAGGTTTTCAGATCTTTTGAATAACCCTTAGGTAGTGAATTTGCTTAGAATATTTGAAAAGTTGAGAAGTTTTGTCATTTTGTTTACCTCATTCTCTTTTGACGTCGGGTCCTATCAAAGTTGGAAAATATTGCATAAACAAATGCGAAATTCAAATTCTACTTTTTAACCGCTCAGAAATCGTGTCAACATAGATTATGGGTTTATAAAAGATTATCTTTTTGAACACTGTTCTAAATGCTCTTTTTAGCGAAAGAGAGGTTACTCTGTTGTAAAGACGCCCTCATCCGAATTGGCGATGTCATTTGGTCCAGAAAATATTTGATCCATTGTTTTTTAGTCTCGTCAAAAAATATTAGCAAATTACTTTATTAGTCTAAAATTGTTAGCAACTTGCTCCTCGCATCTATGATGAATGATATCTTCAAAAAATGTTGCTGCGTTTCCCAAAATTTTTTCCAATGGTAATTGACAGTATGTTATGCTCGACCTACTGAAAGACGTATTACTTTGTTAATACGCCTTTTGGTTTTCCTACTGACAAACTTCGCTGAAAATTTCTGTTCTGCACTCCAATTTCTCCATTCAACATCAGACGCTACTAGCAAAGTGGAGCCAAAGTCATGCTTTCGAAATTTCCTCGGAACTCAAAACGTTCCTGTCCTCAGATTTGAGCGGAACATTCGTTTTTCTTCGACAATCTCCTCTTAAACGAGTTTTCCTCTAATAGGGCTGGGAACGACGTCAACAAGATGGCGAATATGACAGCGTAAGCATCAGCAGCAGTCTGGTCAGAGGGGGCAAACGAGCCGCCAGTGAGACGGGTAAGCAAAATTTTTTTGTATTTTTCGTTGGCAGACTGCCAAGCTAGGTTAGGGGCCACCAATCCTATTACGATGCACTGCCGATGATGTACTGATAGATCCGTCGAGGATTAGAACTAAGTACTCAGCTGATAAAAACTCATCGGTCAAGGTCTACTCGTAGACAACATCTCTAAACGATTTGCAGGGTGCGTTCGACCCCGTCGTACAGTAACCCCCCCCCCTCCCCGTTCTATAAGTAGCAATAGTCGGATCAACGCAATGATAGGTTCTTATCAGAATTGCCCTAATTGCTAAAGAATTCGCAGAAATCATCGAAATGTCCGTGGATGAGTTTGATTGACGGGCAAAGAAACATCACCCCCGTGTGTGTGTTGTCCGATCCCCCGAAGTGGGTCAAAACTGAAAAAGCAAGTTCTGGCGGTGCACATTCCAATAAAGATTGCATTCAACTTGAAACTAATATCGGATTCGTTAGGACGATAATAGCAATTAGGGAGCAGAAGTTTTATCTTTGGGATGGATCACTGAGATAATTTAAGAAATTAGCTATGCATAGTTAATTCCGATTAGCGTCTATAATTCTTGTAAGACTTTTATGCACAATTTTACTCAAAACTTTTCCAATTTCTGACTATAAATTAGAATAGTGAGGTAGTTGAGTCTAGCAAATGAGGTCCAAAATAGCAAGAAAAATAAACTGTATCCAACCAAAAGCGCTGGTTTTTGGAACACATTGATTTGAAAAATTTGCCAACGAGTCGCCGATCTCTCTTTTTCGTGATATCACGGTTTAGTCTCTAAAGAGGCATTTAAACCATTACGACTCACAATTGGCTCAGGAAAAAAAACCGAACAAGTTCAAAGCTAATCAGAATGCTGACTCTAAAATATGCAGTTTGCGTTGTATCTCATTGATTATTCGTGGATTACTGCATATACCCTATTACTGCATCCGTTTACCTCAGAAATGTAATCACAACAAAAGCTAAGAAAACCCATAAAAAGTTAGAAGTATAATTCAGCATGCGCGAAAAGCTACTACACAATTTTCCACATTTTTCTTAGAATTTTTTTATTAGATGGCCTAATTCCCATTTGTTTTGTGTGCTAGAAGTTTCTACTGTAATCCTGCAGTAATGAAGAGTGATGATTCATTCTGTACTAGTAACTCTAAGTTGAAGCCAGCTCTATGGGCTGTTACCAATTTGGCGAGAAACAATGAAGCTCGGAAGTTGTCAATGGTCAAACAGTGTATCAAACATGTTGGAAAATTTCATTTTTATTTCTATCTAATTTACTTATTTGATTTTGAATAATTCCAAGACACTCTATAACTCATAGACTTCGGTCAAGATAGGATATCAGCTTCTACCAACGCTATAGAAGCTGAAACCCCTATCCAGACCTAATGAATGTGGCGCTTAAGAAAAGTGCAGTTTGAATCGGGAATCTTCAAGTAAATTATATTCAAACCTGTGTGTTTGCCCATCGTATGTACTTTATAATATGTCAGTAGGGTAGTTTTCAATTTGACTAATTTTTTGGCAAAGAGATGTCAATACAGCGGATCTACGTTAGAGCAAAATTAGGAGCTGCAAATGCAAAAAAAAAACCTATTCCGTATGTCGCAGTTCGATATTTGTTGAAAAAAAAAACGAAACCCCTACCTTGTCACTGCTAATTATACTTTTTCGCAATCAAACTAGCAGAACAAGTAGAAAAAAAACCGATCACTTTCTGTAGACTTGGAATTGTCGATAAGCATTATGATTACATGGGCTATTAAATCCATTCTTCCAATTAAAGCGATGCGTCATGAAATGTGCGGTTTTGGCTCTGAACAATAATTCACACTGTGGTTCGAAGTATGATTCAACATCAAAGAAATGCTCATAATCCACTCGATCGTACTTTGAACATCTGGAAAATCAATAGCGTTTTCTTTTTGACTTTCTAACTTCAGGTGAGGAAAAAAACGATGGTGCATTCTTCTAGCGATAAATTTTGCATTTGTCAATCTATTTTTTTGCAAGAGCAAGTATTCGTTTCATGCTGCGAAAAAGTGACAAATTGCTCAGGAAGGAGGAATGCTTGATCAAATGTGGCTTGCTGCATACTAAACTGTGAAATCGTTCTGAGCCTGTAGGATTTTCTTCAGCTGAAAGCTCCTTCTTTCAAAAATGCGAAGGCAACACTGCTTTTTCCTTTACGTGAATTTTGCTAAAATTTTTACTACAGCCAAAAGATCTGTCAATGTTCAACTTGTGTCCTACAAAATTCGACTGATCGGGAGTTTTCTTTTGCGAGGAAGTCAGTTTTTTCGTTGTTGAAGGTTTCCTATGCTCAACATCAGATTGCCAGAAATTCACGATAAGTGGTTTCACAGCACTTAATTCCCTTTCTTGGGCTATAATCTCAAGCTTTCAATGATTCATGATTTACGGAAGTGCATTTTTGGGTCACTTTGCATCAAACTGGAGAATCGCGTTTTGCAGCGATGACGGCGTGCGTTCAATCACGCCACATCTGCTAACAACGATTTTATTTGCACTTAATAGCCGCGAAGGTGACTGTAAAGTTTTGCAGTTGTGGCATCCTTCAGAGTCCACTCAGCCATCGATTAGTTCAATAGATTTTTTGAAGCAAAAAAGTCAAAGAAATGGCTAATAAACTCTGCTCAAGAGGGGGCATAGAACTCAAAAAATGTCGTGACTACCTCTATTGCTATGAAAGAAATATAAATAGCAGGGTGAACGAGCGAAAAGAATGTTCGGGTAAGAGTGCAGTGTCGCAAGTACGAGTTGAAGTCATTTTACATTGATGTGTCTTTTAGGTGCTGTGCGCACAGCACTGGTGCCGTTCGGTGATGCGCCTCGTCGGTCGGGTTCCGAGACGGACCTCGGCTATGCAGATCCGCGTCAATATGGTCCTCCGATGCCACCGCCGGGAGCTCGAATGCCCTACCCAATGGGACCACCACATCCAATGATGGGCTTCCCTCCACCGCCACCGCACCTCTTCCGTGGCGGCGCCTTTCCGCCACCACCGCCTCCGCACATGATGCCGCCACCGATGCGGTTACCGCCAGGAGTACGCATGCCACCCCCGCCACCGCACATGTTCCCCATGATGCCACCTCCATTTGCGCCCCGGGGTTACTTCATGCCTCCACCGCCTCCGCATTTCATGATGCCTCCTTTCCGTCCTTCAAGCCCTGGTGAAGGACCCATTATCACAGGACCTGAATCCATCTACGGGACAATTCCTCGACGAAGCGCCTACGAGGAACCCGTCTACATGCCAGGATCACATGCTGGCCCACCTGATTCCTCCTATCAACCGGCAAACTATCCCAGCGACCATTATGAGTCGTACTACGATACTTACAAAAGAAGAGCAACAAAGAAGGTAAATTTCTGGCACAGTTTCAGTTTAATCAAGCTAATGTGTCTTTCTTCAGGATAGCATGTCTTCCCGGCAAGACTCTTCCTCGGTATGGGAACAGTACGAATCTGGCATCTACAGAAAACCACATTTGAATGAAAAAGCTTTCGGAGGAACGCTAAGGTGGGTTAAAAGATGCTGTCCTTACAAGCTTAATATTTTTGTTTGTTTACAGATCAAATGCAGCAAAAGAGACGAATAACACTACACTGAACAGAAATGGCAGTGCTGAACTGGGTACGCAAACCGTAGAAGCCACAGTAAGTACATTGTAACTTTCTTAATGACTCAAGCATTTTGAATTTCCTTCTGTAACTTTTGATGACTCAAGCATTTTTTCCTTCTTAGCCTCTCCGTTATTCAAAAACTATCCAAAAGGTCATAGGCTTTGAGCCTTTTAGAGGGCAAGAAGGGAGAAGGCGAATGAAAAAAGGGCTAGTGGCTGCTAATGTTCATCTTCAACGAGTAATTTGAACCAACCCCTCAAGAACTGCAACTTCCAGGTCTCACGACCGGATACGCCTCCAGTCGATTACGAAGCCTTTGAGAACATGAAGATCAAGCACGAAACAGGCAATGGACGAACAACTGTGTATTAAAACCTCGACGAAAACAATAGTGTTCATCTCTGTTGAGCATCATGTCGATTTCTCTTCGCTTCAGAGGTTTCTTGATCAGATAGCTCGCTTTCAAGAGCAATCCGACATTTTCTTGCTATCTACACATGTATTAACTACGCATGAAAGAGGAAATGGAAAGTTTCACAGATTTTTATAGTTTCGACCCTCGGGTTCATAAAAGGCTGAAGTAGATAAGATACATAGCTGTAATCACACTGCCTAAGGTTATACTTATTTCTGTTGTTCAAACATCACACAAATTGTAACGAACTATCAGTGCCAAATGTGATTTTTTCCTTGAAGTGCGATAATTTGACATTGAACAATGACCGAGTCTAATAAATGCGATTATTTTGTAGTAGTAATTTAACAGGTTGTGCAAGTGGAGCGAGTGGCATAGTGATATAAAAAGACCGCTATGATCAGAGCGGACTAAGATTCGATCTCATTTTTAGGCCAACTAAGCCCTCAGCATTTCGGGACTGTAATTTGGTACACGAATTCTTCAAAGGATAAAAGCACTGAATTGAGGCTCACACGCGATTATTAGCCTCTTCATATGAAGTAGGGACGTTCGGCGCATGCCCATAGAGGGTATTGAATACGCAGGATCCTTTATCCCACTTTGTACTCAGGTTGTGTGATGACTACTTAGCTACAAAGCTTGTGTAAGTGCCTAAAAGCTGCAGAATTAACAAAAAAACTTTTTCACCAGTCAATGCTGTTGCTTCCGCTTCCGGCTCTCCTATGTAGTTAATTTGAAAGTCTTGCCAAATCTTCGAGCGTTTTCAAACTCAAGCGCTTTGACTTTATGGACCACTATAAAAAGAAGTCAGAGTAAGCTTAAACACTTATCGGAGAATCTACCAGATTTGTGCTGACGAATGATGTAGATCTGGGTTGAAAAAGCTGATTTTGGGCTTTTGGTCAGACCCAATTCAAAAGGTCAGGCTTCCCTTTATAGTTTCGTTCCTGAACCTTTAAGTTATCTTCATGATGCGCAAAGAATCCCATTCATATACGACTAGTCAACCTAGAACCCGTTTCTGCTCAATGATGTGGTCTTAAAATGTTCACTCTTGAAAATATTATGGTTGTTGGATGGAGCGGATGACCGATCTACCAATCTTAAATGGGAAAGAAGAGAGCAATTTAACCCCTTAGCAGGTCATAAATGCTAGACAGAGGGGGGGAGGGGAATCAGCCACAGCAAGGGAACGCTTTCGGATTTTGAAGAAAGGCGCACCGCCCCTCCCCCTTAGATAGAGATAGCCTAGAGAAACCCGGTGAGAGCCAAATCGGGTGGAATCCTTGTTGCTGAATACAGTGTTGTGTTTTTGACTTTTAGCATTGCGCCATTGAGATAATTTTTTCTGTATTTGGTCCATGTCTCTCATTGATCAGGTTCAACCGGGACATACTACTTGACCACCTCTTGTGACATGGTCAAATTTATTGTACCAGTTTTGAAAGTGATGATTGAACTCTGTCGCACTGTACATAAAGTGAATGTTTATGTACAGTGCGTATGCGAAAGTATAGAAAGTAAGGGACTTCCAAAGGACGTGTACCTGATACCGTATCTAAAATTACACATGGCTGAAGCGTAACTTGCAAGGAATTACTTTTCACACAGTATATTTGTTTTTTATCAGTATTTTTTGTATAAAGCATAGCAGTGCTGCATTTCCATATTGAACGTTGCCAAGGTTTACAAACAGTTGAACGAATCTAATAAACCGAAAACAAACAAGCAACGAAAACTACCTACCACTTCTATCTACATATTCTGGAAAAGGTATTCATAAATGATACATGACGAAGTGAGTGAGTGGTACAAAGTTTCTCTAATGAATTCTTTGGTCAATTTATGTAGCTGTTCGTATACTATGCTGTAAGCATGCACTGCTATTCTACATATGTATGTAGTTTTGCGCTCTGGCAAGCGCCGTACTTATCCGGTTTAATCGGTTCATGCGGTTCACTCCTTCGCTATTGGTTACTACTGAGTTGACCAATAGCAAACATGTGAACAGGACAAAACTAGTTGAACCGAATAAGCCCGGCTCCTGCCTTTGATAATACCCTTCAAGCGACTAGTAGCCTCCAACGTACCTGTTCCTACTCCTTACAAGGGAACGATACTCAATGTCCGTGGCCTTTCAAAACGTGATTTATACCATTATACTCGTCTTCGAACGCTGATTCCGAATCTGCCTTCCGTTTCTGCTAATCGTTTCTCTGAAAGAAGTTATGGGAGAATTTCGAGCCAAGTTTGGCTACCTAAGGGAAATATGGTCATTGGAACGGCCTGTACCGCGGCCACTTTCTGGTCTAGTGGTTAGTGCAATAGCCTTATAAGTTGATGCAGGTGTAGGTTCAAACCGTTTTGTGTTTTTACTTTTGCATTACCTCAATTAAGCTTGTTCGAGAAAATTTACTTGCATGATCATTGGATACAATTTAGCGCAAATAGTTATCATTTTTCCGAATTTTCACATTTTTTGAAGAGTAAGGGTGTTCACTTAGCTCTGTGATGCAAAAGAAGGTTAATTGAGGCAATGCAAAACTGAAAAACACAAAAGGATTCGAACTTGCAACTGGATCAGCTCATGGTGCTATCGCACTAACCACTAGACCATAGTGCACCGTTAACGTTGGCGCTCCGAACTTATTTCACTGGGCATCCACAATCCGCGCGATCCATTATAACATTTTTGAAGCGATTAGCAGAAACAGAAGCCAGATTCGGAATCAGTGTTCCAAGACGACTGTAATGGTATACATATCATCTTGAAAGCACCGGGACAAAGGACACCGAGTATCGTTTCCGTTAGAAGGAGCTAATAGCTGCCATTTGAACAGCTATACATTTATGAAGAACAAACAATTTGCATCCAGGAACTGTCTACCATGGTTCAGTCAAATCCTTAGGGTTTGGTATTTGGATATGCTCTTCTATAAGGTCTTACAAATGCTTTGTTAGAATGGACTAACAAGCAAAACATGACTCCCTTTCTTCTTTCATTACAGCAACATATGCACTCGTTTTCCTTGAGCTTTCCGTTGATCTGACTTATTCCAATGCATCTTTGTAAGGTGTAAGTTCATCTTGATCAATTCGGAATAAATGTATGTAAGCTATAACTGATTTTTCAACTGCCATCGCAACTGCGATGGAGTTACGGTAGATACAAACTCTTGTTATCCCTCTGGAATTGATGATCTATATCCACCATATAAATTTTATATGCATCTAACAATAAGTTACAATTATTATTCATTTATATGCAGGCAGGTAACAGATTTGACAGTCGTTATCGCGTTTGTTGTTTTACAAAAATTCGACGTCTGTGTAGGCCTCCACTCAATCCTTTTTTATCGCAAATCAATAATCGCTCAGACAGAAAAAATGGAACAGAATGTGCATGAATCCAAGTAATTTGATAGGAGAAGCTATCTAACTTAGCTTAGTCTCTTGGTAAGGGACAGATTCCAAATCGGCTTCAAATGCTGATTCCAATTATGCTATTTCCGCTGCCGCGCATCATTTAAACGATTTATGGGAATTTTTTATTCCGCGGAATTGGCATATTACTGAACATGGAAAAACTGCCCGTAGGTAAAAATTTGCAAGAAAAAGGTGCTAAGATATCGAAATAAATCAAACGTACTTCTCTCACTGAAATGGAGCTCACAAGTGTATTAGCACTTAAATGATGCCAGTAAGTTGATAAGTATGCAAATTTTGCAAAGAAAAAAGTCAGTAACTCGTTCAAGATTGATGCGCGGCAGTTAGGAATAGAGCATTTGGAATCAGCGTTTGAAGCTGGTTCAGAATATAGAGACCTCTTTTCAAAAGGCCGAGTTGAGTTAGGTACCTTCCCTTGTAAGACCAAATGAGGATTTTGAGACTAATTTGAATGATCAGCAATAAAATGATATAGGATGAACAGATGTTGGCAAAACCAAGTGGCAACTTCGACAAGCGGTGTCGAACACAGCTAATATCCACACCATCGACCAGCACATCCATGTCCGTGCCAGCCATATCCTCCGTGGTGTCCCCATCCTCCGTATCCTCCTCTGTGATGTCCCCAGCCACCATATCCTCCATGATGTCCATACCATCTTCCGTACATTCTTCCACCATTATTCCATGGACCAAATTTGCCACAGGGATGCCCATACGGACAATCTCTCGGACCATAACGATAAGAACTTAGTTCATCACGACTTCTCCAGTATTCCAATCCGTTTCTCCATTGAGCGGAAGCAAATGCGACTAGTAGGAGTAGGATAGTAATGGAGCTTCGCATCTATAAAATTTGATGATTACTATGTTCAGGAGGAGAAGCTCTTAAAAGACGGGTATTTAACACCAATAACGTTGACGATTGAAATAGTTGACTTCTGGGTTAGAGTATGTAGTTGTACCACCTCGGAAATCCGCAGTAGAGTGGGCCAATGTGTGTGGGATCATAAAGGTACACACATGCTTATCTCTTCATCTAATTCAGAATAATGTCTTCGGAATAAAATGCAGTATCGCTGACTTCTTATTTGGCAAAGTGGATAAGTATGAAAAAGTAAAAGTATGTCCAAGAAGCGACTAATACATTGAATCGTACCAAAAGTAAGCTTTTTTTTTGTACAAGCAATATCCTGAGCATAAATATATGAAAGAGAGTGCCGGCGTTTTACGTAAATTCTATGCTTTTCCAAATGGTCCTGCATAAAGATGATTCAACGAGCTCTCAAAATGTTATTAAGAACTACAATCTATGCTTTTTCTTATGGTCAATCTTTGCCAATCTTGTGAATTTTTATACTATTCTCCCAAAGAAATCCAAGTCAAGTGTAAATAGGACAAGCCGTACAGAGTAAAAACGATGCTTTTTTTCCTTCCCATAACTCGCCATTGATTTTTGATAGAATTTACCGAAACCACCAGGTTCTAGCAGACCCGTTTCACGATAGAGGGCCAAGAAGTCGAAGTGGCAAATCATCACAAACTACCTTAATTTCACGAGTACAAGAAGTATCTGGTTTTGCTCTAGACTCGACTAGCCCGAACATTCGAAAAATTTTGCAACCAAATGATGCTTTAAAGTGCTGCGCCTCACCTATAATAATTTTGTGGGAGAGCGACTATCTCGCCAGACAGTGCGGCCAAGCTGATTGCTTGAGAAAATAAAAAGATGCGTCTTGTACTCGTGAAAGTAGGTTCCATGCCATTGGTAAGAGCTTGGAGCACTGACTTGAATCTGCATTGCGTATCTGTAGAGCTTTTCCGGAACGGAGTCGTGAGCATTTTTTAGAGTCGAGAAATGGACTAGCTGCCG